GGAAGTTTTTTTTTTTTTTTTTTTTTTTTTTTTAATTTAGTAAAGGGGATTGAGCTCAGGATCCTCTACCACTAAGCTACATCCCCAGCCCTTAACTTTTATTTTGAGACAGGGTCTTGCTAAATTGCTCAGGCGGGACTGAACTTGCAATCCTCCTGCCCATGTCTTCCACTGTGTTGGAATTACAGGTGTGAATTGCTATACCTAGTCTCCCACTTTCGCAAAACTCCCTTTTCTCCTTTATATTATTTTAAAACTCTAGAAAAATGTTTAATAACCCACCTTTATGTTATAATGATCACAAATGCCAGATGTCCCTAAAGGCTCGAACATTATTTTACATTCAAGAAGTAGTTAGATTTCTCTGGAAAACACTCATATGCTTCTCTAGGACAGATCAAGCACATTATTAGTCTTTGGCCATCAACAGAGAAGGGACAGATCTGAACCCTCAGGCTGAAATGAACCTTAAAGACAATGAAGATGGTTTCAAGCACGCCTGACACACAGAACTCAAATTATACCTGCTTCATAAACAACAGCTAAAGAATTCAAGTAAGATATTTCAGACTGAATATTCTAATTTCAATAAATATATGGAGCTATTATCTTCTCAGACAAACCAGAAGGAAAAGAATACCCAATTTAAGACTGGTAGACCTAAAAAATTAATGAGGGAGTAAGTCAAAGACTTTCTCTCTTTGGAAAATAGAGCCATAACAGTAAGTTTTGCTCTCTGTGCTTTAGATTAGGTCAACACATTTCCTGTGACGGTCCAGACAGAACATTTTTAGACTTTACATTCCAGACTGTTTCTGATACAAGTACTCAACTCTGTTCCACAATACGAAGGCAGCTAAGAACATTTAAATGAACGATCCCCTGCTTAGGCCTGACCTGTCCACAGAACTATCCTATGGTCAGGCTACTGAGCATTGAAATATGGCTACCATGCAAAGGAAATGAATTTTTTGACTTTTTTCAATACCAAAATCTGCAGATTCTCAAGTCTCTCATTAAAAAAACTACTTACACACAATTTTAAACACATCCTCCCATATTGTTTGAATCCTCTCTAGATTACTTATAAATAGCAGTTACACTGTACTACTTACGGAATGATGAAAAGAAAAAGTCTGTAATGTTTAATACAGGGAAAACTTTTTTCCCAAAAAATTTTCCATCTGTGTTTGATCGGATCCATGAATGTGGAACCCCCAGATATGAAAGGGTAACTGTAATTGAAATATAAACACCTACATGCAACTAGAAGTTATCATACTAATCGCAGTATTAAACTTCTAACTCGTCAGCTTGACCTTACTCAAAAAACTTAAAAGCTAAAAATGAACTCAATGATTCTATTTAGATGAGCTGGGAAGAGAAAAGATGATGTAAAATTTCCAATAACTGAAAGATTGTACTAGTAAATAATCAAAATTCTGAACAAGACGAAGAGGATACGTGTAGAGTTCCATGTATCGGGACTTGGCCATACTTTGTCTGGTATAGACTTGCTGGATTCCAGCTCGAAGGTCGTCCCAGATCTGGTCAAGGCCAATCTGCTTCAGTCCATGGGGATTCTGACTCCTGCTTGATGACATTGTGAGTAATGTTCTGAAGTGGTCCAGTACGGCAATCCTTATTCAAGACACAGCTAATTCGCCATTAGTTGAAAATATATAGTATCATTCCAAATTTATTCACAGCAGCTCAGAAAGGAGGTCCTTTAAATGTAGAGAATGAAATCTCATTGCAGGCAAACCTGAAGAGAAAAGAAAAGGAATTAATGAATTATTTTTACATCTTAAGGCAAGTAACAGGATTATAGACACTGACAAGAAATACTCAATTTATGGGAATTAGCAGGCAATGCTCTAATCCAGAGATTATTTCTGTGTGGAAACCTGTTCATTCTAGGGGTTGTGTGCAGAATGTATTTAGACATTTCATTCAAAATTGTTCAACTATTAGCCCTCATGGAAAAGCTGGCCAAATGAAGGCACAAAAACTGTTACCTTTTATTAACATCTATAGTTAATGGAAACTTAAAATATATCACTTCACCTACGAAACAACTGGGAAGACAAATGCAAAGAAAAAAGGGCAAAAGATATGCTCAGGTAATTTTCCCCTTAGCATTTGGCAAGAAAGTAATGAATGGCAGTGAGGGAAAAAAAAAAATGAAGGGAAGTGGACACTCCCTTTCTTTCTAGAAGGGACTCTGGAAACAAGTGCACAGTGTACCCTGGCTTCAGAGAGGCCTGGCTGTGAGCTCAGTTTCACACTTACAGGAGAGTAAGCTTATTAACTTTCTAATCCTCAACTTCCTATCTGCAAAATGGGGACAATCAATTCCTCAAATGGCTGTTGTAAATTTAAATAACCATACAAAGTATTAACATTTATCAAATAGTAACGGCTATTATTTCTAAGTGTATGAAGCTATTACATCATAAAGGACCATCAATAAAGGTTGTTAGGCATTCAATGTTGTATTAAAAGTTAGCACTTTTCAATGTGCAATATTCCAGGCATGCTTTAGGGATTATTTATATATATCACACCAAAATGTGGAGGTTTCAAATCAATGTTTCTAGTGAAACTGAAGAAACACTGAATTCTTTTAATGGCTTCAAAAAATAAATGCCACTGGGATGCAAAAAGGATCTGAAACAGTAAGAACAAGTTGTTACAGCCTGCAAATTCCTGCGAGTCTCCTGGCCAAGAAAGTCTGAGCAGCCCAGCTCCTCAGTTGATTGATTACACAGCGCCAACAAGGCCTAGGTATACTTAAGCACCATGTAGGTCGTGCTTATGGATTAAGTAAGGATTACCAAAACCTGAATCATCTCTAGTGTTTGTGATCTGAGTAATAAAATATTTTATGAAGCCACACACCACTCCTAATCTTGAAAGTATTTTATTTTGTACATGCAAAGAGATATGTTCAAATGTGAAATAAATCTAACATAAGGGCTCCCTCAACTGCAAATAAGCATTCCCTATGTCAAGTTTTAACGTCTTTCCTTTCATCTTCCTCAGAGGTTCATGGCACACTTGGCTTATTTATTTATTTCTCTCTCTTTTTTTAAACCAGGGGAGAGTGCGAATGCAGTCCCCTACTACCACAAGTTATGTAGTCGTGTTTCCTGCATTTGGGAAAATCGCAGAGGTCAGCTCATCCAGAGTGCAATGGATAAGCCTCATCCTGGGAAAACCACCTTCGTGATCATGGTATCTCCCCTGCCAGGTAAGTACAGCACACTTGACTTTATAACAGTCAGCATGTTTGGACTGCTGCTGCCACCTGATAGCATTAACTACTATTTAAGACCCATCACATCTTTAATTCTCCCCAAAGAGGAAATTACCACTTAAAGCGCCCAAACTAGAATTAACAGTGTTCCAGATGTTCTTCTATCCCTTTTCCCACTTTTTCCCTAATTCTACCAGCAACTAAGGAAATGGTCTTCTCTGCCCTCTGAACATCACTTTCTACCAGTGCTGCCCATCTTTGTATACACATGGCAGAAATCTGGGAAAGATCTCATATCTCATCTGTATATTCGAGTGCTGCTGATGCTAACTGTCAAGGCCACTTAAATCCATTCCCACATCACCACCTCCTCCTTCCATCATCATCATGGCTTGTCACCACCATTGCAGTAGTCCAAACTGGACCCAAACTCTACACACTGGTTTCCTCCCTGCATCCCTCCTTGCATCAGCAGTCTGAACCTGTGGTAGCCCTAAGAGCAATGTGACCAGTAAACTCCTCATAACGCATGACCAGACTCTTGACTCCTCCTGTCCCTTCGGGCATAGCCCCCAGACCTCTCCCCTTTCCTGGACATACCTGCCTCCCTTCTTCACACTTGACCTTAGGTCAGACTCACTGGAAAGCCCCCCAGAAGAGGGCAGGGTCCCCCACCAAATGGGCCTTTCCCTTGTTACCACCTATTCAAGGTGAAAGCCCTCTCTGCTTGCTTCCTTACTTCACCAGTATGGAGGACCTAGGCATGGCAAGCATCTCTTCTGCTTACCATGTTATCCTGAGAACAGAGTACAGAGCTCAGCACATGGCTTGATAAATGTTTTGCATGAATAAACAAAGTGAGAAGCACTATGCTTTTAAAGGATTTAGAAATAATGAGAAACCAGGATCATCAAGCATCTGCATTTACTCAAAAACCCCTCTTTAGAATCTCCATAAATGTCTTGTTTCTTCCAAATCTTTTCCTCAAAACACTGGATCTTACACTAAAATTTATTTCTCATTTGGTAATGGCTGGTTACTGAGAATGTATATTTTTCTTAACATAATTTCTAAACAGGCTTAGGAAAATTACAGAATTTTTAGTAACCATTTATACTTAACAAGTAGTAGGAAAGTGCTGTCCTAGGCCCTGCTTATATACTACAGTCAATCAGAACCGCATGGTCTACTTTTATAATACTCCTGGCTATGGAATAAGGTCTTTCCTTCTGAGTAGGGAACAAACATATTAAAACCTTCTGGTGCATAAGTTACCTGTAAACTGGAAACTTTATATATCATGTGTATGTAGAATCCGACCTTAAAAATTGTCCTAGCCTTTTCTTTTTCAGAGGGAGAAAATGATTCAAAGAAGCAAACTACAGTTGCCAACATTGTCTGCTTAGAAAGTTGCAGGTCCACTGCCAGGTCTCTGGGATCACAAGCTAGTGTGTCCTAGCACTACAGGCTGAGCTGTGGGCTCTTTCACCTTCCAGGTGTTAATAAACATAGTAAATCACTGTGTAGAGTCCTAAGAAACTAAAGGCTCACCAATTGGCTAGTCATTAAACTAAGAACCTAAAGAGCTGCAATTTTTTAAAGCTGATAGTTTTAAAGAGCTAGCAAATTAGTTCTCATTATATCAACACTAAATCTATACAAATATTTTGAAATTTAAGAAAGCACAATTTAACAAAGTCTGACTTCTAAAAAACAAAGATAGATAAAAAAAAACCCAAAAAACAAAGATAAACATTGAAAATAATAAACCGTATAAAGGGTAATGTTAATACAGCTCTGTTACCCAGAGAAGTAAAGTAAAGTTAAAATGGCTGGTATGACTTTCTCTACATCTCCACTCCCCTAATTCCAGCATAAGCAATGTGCTGCTGCCTTTTTCTTTTAGCAGTTGGGGACTGGATCCAGGTCCGTGCACTGAGCTACCTCCAGCACTTTTTCATTTTGAGACAAGATCTCACTAAATTGCCCAGGCTGGTCTTGAAGTTGTGACCTTCCTGACTCTACCTCTCAAGTAGCTGGGATTACAGGCATGTGCCCATCACACCTGGCAATGATATATTTCTTGATGTATGTTCTTTATGTATTTTTTTCTGTTGCACTTCTGATCCCAATTATGAACCCTACTCTATATCAAGACTCATTGATCATCTCGGAGCTCAAATACAACCTCTTCATGATAAAGTCTCAACTTTATTTTATTATATACTTTGTCTATTTCTACGCTTGGCAACGGTGTCACACAAACCTCAAGTGACATTCAGAATATGCAGAAATTTATCAAACCTTCTATTCCTATTGTTAGATGTTTTGCTGTTTTTTGTCTATCAATCCTTTTTTCTAGTTGTCTTTAGTATTCAAAATTCATACACAGTTGATCTGAGATTTGCAAATACTCGTAAGTCCTTCTCTACGTAAGTAGGCGAGTGTAAAGGGGATCACCCTACCCTCTATTTTCCTATCTCCTAGAGAGATTCATATATATAAAACATCTGTAAGTCATTACAGTGAAAGAACCTAAAATTAATCTGAAACAAAACAATAAACATAGGCACACCACAGAAATGACTGCAAGGACAGGTCCTGGGCTGACAGCAGATACCAAGACCAGTCTGAGTGAAGATACTTCCTAGGCCATGTACCTTTATGTGCAAGAGCAAAAGACCTGTGATGGAGACCCTGCACAGCCAGCACCAGCACCTCCCAGGCACTGCAGGCTGGGTAGAGGAGCTCACCCTGACGCTGATTCTGATGGTGCTGGCAGCTGGGTGTGTCTGCTGACCACATTCCCCACAGTAAAGGCTTCCTTGAAGAGGCATCTAATGGGCCAGGCCATAGCATACTGCTCTAGCAATGACACCAACGGCTCTGGGGATGAGGTTACCAGTCATGCTGGGCATATGTGGTGAGTGTCCAAGCATATGCTTTGTCTCCTCATGCCTCACTCTGTGTGTGGCAAGATGAATGACGACATAGGTGCTCACAAAAGACTGGCTTAATTGTCAATGATGAAGTTTCAGAAATACACTGCTTTACAAACTACATACACCTTCCATCTCAACCCGGCCACCGAAAAACATCAGTAATCTTGAGCAGACTTCATGTAAGTCAGAAACATTATAACGGTTTTTAGGTAAGGTAGAAATATTTTCCTAGTAAACCATATCACATAGTCAGAAAGCTCAGGAGGTCTCCTAAACCTAAGAAATAAAAAGTACATTTAGGTTAAGAGACTGTTTCCCAAGGTACCCATGGTATCACAGGGTTTCCCAACTATACTTATGAAGGTCCAGTTTCCAGACACCAACCTGCAGAACTGCTACTTCATGCCTTGGAAGCAAGGGAGGATGAGTGGAACTCCAGGGAAAGAAGCACGTGCCAGCAAAGGCAGTCTCAGGTCCCTTCCCCACATCCACGTCCTGAAGGAGGCCAAGCCATGTCCATGAGCACCTGCCAACCCCTGGGAGGTACACAGGCTTCCCATTTTC